CAGCGACTTCAAAGCGAGGACGATACAGTATAGAGGAGAATTTTCCCTCCGTGCATGCTTGTGTACAGAATCAAACACACATGCTCGTCCTGCAACACAAAACCCACATAATAGATCGGGTGCATGCACACTCTCGTGCATGCATAGACGCGCACACACACACACGTGCATACACAAAAGTGTCTTGGGGAATTTGACCTTTTCCCAAAAGCCTCCCTTTCCTGCCTTTGGCTCCCCTCCCCCTATGGCTGTGTGAAGACTGAAGGGGTCAAGGGTTAGGTTTTGGGGGGCTGAAGATTAGGTTTCACATGACTGAGCACCTTTGTTGGGGCAGGCCGGCAGAAAGGAAACGTCCAGGAGGGTAGCTCTGTCTGTCTGAGAGGAGAGAAAGACGAGAGAGGGGGTGGAGAAAGGGGAGAGGACGGACGGATGGACAGACGGGCCGGTGGAAGGACAAGGCTTTAGTTGAAGTTGAAGTCTGAAGCTGAAGTGCAAGATCAAGGAGGAAGTGGAAGAGGAGGCCGAGCCAGGGAAAGAAAGTGAGAGCACAAATGAGAAAAGCAGAATGACTTTATCCCAAAACTTCCCCTCTCTCTCTCTCTCTCTCTCTCTCGCTCCCTCTCTCTCTCTCCTTACACCTCTCATTCTTGTCTTGACCATGTGGCTTCTGCATGGAACCGGAGCCAGCAAGCGTCCTCAGTGGCCGCGCCGATCTGCCCTGTGACCACACAGTAAGAAGAAAGTCCCGGCCAAAACAGTAAAATGGATCACAGCAGAACCAACCCCCACACCCTTCCCCCTCCTGCTCTTCCTCCTCCTCCCCCGGTCTCACCACTTCACAACATCTGAGACATGGTCTGCCCGCTAGACAATATGCGCTGTAGCTGGCAGGGAACGACTTGGCAGAGTCCTGGATTACCTCGCTTATGAAGTATTGCTTTTAAACGTCTGCGTGTGTGACTTTTCTCTCTTTCTCTCTCTCTCTTGCTCTCTCTCTTTTTCAGAATTAGAGAGAGGGATTTTAACAACGTGCAACAGTTTAAACAAAATGACTCACAGAGGTGGGACTGGTACTTCTGATGGCTTCCAGATAAGGTGAAAACTTTGACCTCCGAGTGAAAAAGGACTTGGGGGCTGGAAGGGGTCGAAAAGATCACATGCAGGCCTTAGTTGAGAGAGATTTTTTTCTGTTTTTGTCCTGTATGATCACAAATTACCCCCAACGTTTGATTCTGACATCTTGGACAATGCGTTCATGAAACTTTGATTGCGCCGTCTTATTTGTTTGTGCTGCTTTAGGTACCAACATGCAAAGGGGGGGACAATCCTCGTCGTGGCCATCAGGATTTAAGTGACGACTGCAATGTTTGGCACTGGTACGCGTTTGTCTGTCAGTGACGGGGTATCCTTTTGCACGCTGCAAGGTTGGCTCAATCCAAAGCACGGACAGACTTAAGGGGAAGGTGAAGGAGGTGGAGCGGGAACGGTCAAAAGATTCCAGAGACAGACTGACCGACCTTGAACCTCAGAGGTTACGATGGTACCATTATTTTTTATTGTTCCCTTGCTGTACAGCAGATTACGCTTTGTGTTTTTATGTTTTGCATATGACGTTGTCTGTTACCAGCAGATGCACTCACAAGCATGCAAATGGCTGGGCTGGTTTATACCTTTGTAATGCATGCGTAGTGTTTCCCAGGTGCAACGCTCGCAGTGTTTATATAGCCAGTAAAAAAAGGGTCATATTACCAGCGCCCTCTGACTTGTGTGTGCCTTTTTATTGCAGGTGTATGCGTGTGTGTGTGTGTGTGTATAACTTGAATCCTGCGTGCACAATTAGAGACAGCAAGGTCTCTATTTACTGTCCTGTGAATAAAGAGCTAAACTTCACCCTTTGGCCTCTTTATGCCTCTATATCTCATTGTCAGTAAGGCTGGACAGTAACTCAGCAAATACATACTTTACAGGCTGTAAACCGTCACCAATAAAGGATCTGGAGTTATTGATTCTGGCGAATAACTAACTGAAAAACATGTGGAAACTGTCTTCCTTTCTACTCCACACTGCATACAGTTGTAAAAGCATTCCTGTCCCTTTAACTTTTTTTTTTTTTTACATTTGTTCACATTACAGCCACAAACTACAGTGTATTTTACTGATTATTTATGTGATAAGCCAACACGAAAATGATAAACAGTGGGGTTTTTTTTGTTTTTTTGGAAATCATGCAGAAAAATTGTGGTTCTTCACATTTTTCATAATTTACCAGAGTAGCTGGTTAGATTGCATTTAGGCCCAGACTTTGACTGGGTCATTTTAACACATGCATACACTTAGCTCCAAGTCATTCTGTTGTTGCTCTTACTGTATGTTTAGGGTCACTGTCCTGCCAGTAGGCAAAACTCCACTCCAGTCAACGTTTTGCCCAATATTTAGCTTTAACCAATCAACTCTGAACAGAATTAGAATAATTGTCATTAAAAAAAAAAAAAATGATTTCCACTTCACAGCTGGAACATTTTTAGTGTCTGTCTATCTCATAAAATCCTAAATCCTGTTGTGAGGTAATAGAAAGTGAAAAAGTTCAAGGGGTGTAAATACATTTTTGAAAAGCATGTAACACTGATGCTGTAGTTACCCAAACAGCTGAGAGTCGCTACATTATAATTAAACAGATGTGAATCTCAGTCTAATGTCAAATTGAATTGTTTCTCAGAGTTTTGACATGTCTTACTGTATGATTTACATATTTCTGGGAAGACGGGCTGCAACAGAAGAAGCACAGAATTCAGAAATGTATATAATACATTTTATTATTATTATCAAGACAAAAATGGCTGAGTGAAGAAAACAGCTGAAAATAGAGTGGCATTTCCATAAACTGAAAACGAAAACAACAACAAACTTGTAAGTCGAGCAAAAAACTCATAGATGTTGGACAATGACTTTTGGTCATCAAAACTAAGCGGTCACAATTCATCAAGGAGGGAGAAGAACTGAACTGATCTGTTTCTGCAGTGACTCTGTTCTGAACAGAGCAGGTGTTTGTTTGTATAGTCATAATAAATAACGTCGGCCTATGCCAGGGGCCGACTTCAAGTTCAGTTCAGAGCAAATGGCTCGAAGGCAAATACAGGACAGAATTGAATCTTAAGTTGTACCCCAACACCAGAGGTATGACGGCATGTACCTACATTTCTGTTTGTGATTTTACTCCTTGCATATGAGTTGTACCATCTTCAAATCAAAAAGCACCATGGTCTGTTTTGTCTATGAAAGAAAACTTTTTCAGGTTGATATTGGACTGATTGCATATGATAAAATGTAATTTTTTTTTTATTATATTTTTTTTAAACGACAGCTGGAATGTTTTCAGGTGGTACATGACAGTAAAAAGTTGGCTACCAAGAAAAACCCAACAATAGCTTGTATTACTGCATATAAAATGGCAGGAGAGAAAAAAAAATATATAGAAAAAAATATATATATAAACAAACTAAAAGGATATTTACAACCACCTGTTTTTCCCTCAGTGTGGCCACTTCCCCAAGCGGGACTGCCTGAAAAGGCCATCATATGACCTATCACCCTTTGGGGAACGCCACAACTTTTTTTATTTTTCAAAAAAAAAAAAAAAACATACTTTTTTTTCCCCCCGAGCATACAAATTATTCACACTAGATTATCCTGCCAAATTAAGAAAATATACGGTGGCAGCTTGTTGGGATTTTTTTTTTCACTACAGAAAAAAAAAGAGTACATTGAAACCTTTAAAGAGTACAAGCAAAACAGTTAAAAAATAAAGGCTCCAACATAAATACAATAAGTGCCTAAGCTAAGTGAACATTAATTTCAAATACCGTTCTAAATACAAGAAAAAAGTAGACCATAGATGTGTTATGAACATAGGAACTTACAAGAGTGTGCATTTTCCTATGCATTTTAGGTTCTCTCTTCTATATATTTATATATCATAAATCTCTCCTCAATGCAAATTTTTGTTCAACCTGAAGACGTTTATTTCATAATAAAGGCAAAAAGATGAGAGACATGTTTTTTTTCTTGTTTTTTTTTTTTTTCTTTTTTCTTGTTTTTTTTTACACAATTCATTACAGAGTGATCAAGTCCTGGATGCTACCACGACAGATTAGAGAAACATCAAAAAAAAAAAAAAAAATTAAATAAGGTTCTCCCCATAAAAAGTGTTACCTAAAACAGATTTTATTTACTTTTTTAATCAAATTTTACTCCTCTGAGTTGTATTATGTTTAACGTTTGTATGGCAATTCCTGCATTTATACCTCCAAAAGCAAAATCCCTGTTTAGCTCTCAGAAGGAAACATGGCTGGCAAATGTCTCTAGATCAAAACCTTTTTCTTTTTTCCTCTTCTTTTTTTTTTTTTAATGTTAATGCTAAGCAATGACACCACACTAATCTGTCAGCATAAGAGCAAGTTTTCCCTTGAGCGCCCAACTGTAAACTGGGAAAATTGAACAGTGCATGTAAGGTAGCGCCAGATCTGGAATCTGGATCCTCATTTTATACTCAACCAACTGTACCTCCGATTAGAGAGACAGATACAGAATCCAAGGCAGAGTGACAAGTGCTATATTATCATCATCATTGACAAAGGATGGAGATAAAAAAATAATAGAAAAACAGCCTCCATTAGGAGGAAAATGTTTAGAAAAATTGACCTTTTTAGAAATAAAACTTGTGTGAACAGGGGGTGTTTTTTTTGTTTGTTTTTTTTTAAGAATTAAAATTTCCTTTTGGAATAGTTTTTGATGCAAAAGGTTTCGGATTTCTTTAATGTTTCAAAAGTATATCAGATATTTGGAACTTTAGAGACACTTGTTAAACTCGATCAAAAGAGATGCACCAATTCATCAACCAGAGTCAAACAATTTTCTGACGGTTAAATACCGAAAATCTGCACCATTTGCGATCTACAAACTCGTCAATTGTTTTTGGGGTCCACTTTTCTCTTTTAGTTTAACTGAAATCAGACGTAGGGTTACAGACATGTGCTTTGATGCTTTCATGGAGATAAGTGCTGCATTTTCTTTTTTTCAATTCTCCAGGGCCTGTAACATAACTGTTTCTTTGTTATGCTTTTTGTCTGTAGAAAAAACATGAGCTGTCAAAATTGTAGATGAATAGTCGAAAAAAAAAAAAAAATAATGAAATCATTATCGGCCAGAAAAAAAATAAATAACTGAGGGTGGCTTTCTACCAATCACCCACCCTCACACTTCCTTACAAAAGTCACCAAAGGCCTCCTGACGCTTGTTAAACCCAATCATTGCAGACGCCTTAATCAGTTGACCAGAAACCAGAATAGACCAATTTTCCACAAGTAAAACTACTAAAAAATGTCCACCATAAATCCTCAAACCATTTTCAGTCTATAAGCCACACTGTTAATGCCTTTCTTTTTAAATGAGATCAAGATTAGGGTTCAATGATTTGATGCATTTTCAGATGGATTCAAAACTAATGCGTCAAAGAATTAACAGCACTTTGTTTTTTTTTTCTATTTTATGTGCAATGGTCTGAGAGGAAAAACCAAAAAAAAAAAAAAAAGTGGAATCTGTCTAAATCGGAATCAGCAGGTCAGACCTCAAAAGAAAACCAGCAACAGGTAACAGACATGAAAGGTGTGATTGGTGCATCTCTACTGTCCATCTACCGTCAGGCTCTAAAACCCACCCACCAAATCACTCACCTATAATCTGTCTGAATCACCAGGACTAAATCCCGTTTTATCTTCGAGCGACTGCTGACATTACAGTCTGAGCGGCTAACACAAAAGGAAAAAAAAAAAATCTGTGCTGCTTACAAAATAACACTTGCATTTTTAATTTTCAAAGAAAATAATCACTCTGGAACCTTTAAGAGCTTCATGTTGGTTAAAACAACTTGTCAAAGTACCTTTTTTTTTTTTTTCCTCAGTTGTACCAAACACAAACACCAAAACCAGAAACCTCTGACCCCTTTTAAGCATGTAACATGCCAGTAAACAGAATTGTAATCATGAACGCATTAATATGCATGAGTCAGGTAGTTAAACGATTTACCAGAGATATGCAAAATTCAGTTTATTTTTTTCTAGGTTTGTTTCAGCTGGTTCCCTATGTTTTGCAAAGTAAAAAAAAAAAAACAAACAAAAAAAAAACAGGTTGTGCAGGTGCTTGATGCAAGGACCTGCATCTTCCTGTGTATTGTAATCATTTATAGCTGAAACTCCGAGCTTATAGCAAAAAGGAGAATTAACCATTGCAGGTAAAATATCCAAGGCACTCTTTATCGTCATGTCACACCACATTATTAGTTTAGTTTCATTGATGTTTGTAAAAGAAATATTTAAACTAGTGCCCAGCATTTGATAGGCAGCCCAATTTTATATACATATGGATATATATCTCATCTCAATGTTGCATGGAAAATCTTTCACAAAGATTGGTTTTATGTTTGACCCTGCTCGTCTTGATGTTTTGACAATATGACACTGTCTGCTATGTTTGAACACAAAGCTGTACATGATATGTAAAACAGTATGTACTGTATGCAGCTTGGGTTATAACTAACTGTATTGTTTGTTTTTTTTTGTTTTTCTTTTTTGTTATGCTGAGAAAAATCAAAAGTATCAACAGCAACACATGTACAACCAAAAATCCTCCAGCTAAGGACAAATTTTCTCTTTAAATAGCCAAAACACACCAAGCATGCTGTCCAGTTACAAAAAATACAAAATGTGTAAATTATTGCACAATAAAAAGGCTCAAAAAGTTCTGATGCAATAGTATTGCCCAGTACTGGATCATGCATCAAGTTTTCTCCAGAAGGGGATGGAGAGCAGGGCTGCACGGCATTCTGGTGTCTAACCCTGTTGTCTTTTCCCCATTGCTCATTGGCTACAAAGCCTGGGTTGCTTTTTAGCTGGGGGGGTGGAGGGGATTGGAGAGAGAACTGCTCTTTGCCTATTCAGTTTTAATGTCATTAGCCAGAGGGCGGTCACTGTGCCACTTCTTCATGTGTTTTTCTAGAGTGCTGTACACACTGAAAGGCATGTGGCAAATTTCACATTTGTACACGTCCTTGCCCATCTGTCCGTGGGTCTTCATGTGGCGGGTGAGTTTTGAGCTCTGGGCACACGCGTAGCTGCACAGCTCGCACTTGTACGGCCGCTCTCCAGTGTGGCTGCGTCGGTGCACCGTCAGGTTGCTGCAGTTCTTGAACACCTTGCCGCAAAATTCACAGGTGTCGCTGCGGCGGCCGTCCTTGGAGCTCGGCCGCCCGTTTCCGCTGCCGCCGTGCGGCGTGCTGGCGCCGCTGCCCGTGCCGCTCCGTCCTGAAGGGGCCCGTTCCCCGTCGAGTTCACCGGGTGGGGTGGAGTAGCGCAAGCTGCCGTTTTCTGACGAGTGCTCGGATGAGGAGGTAAAGGGTGATTGTCTGGAGTCCCCACCTGTAAAACTGATGAAGGGGTCCTTGAGTTGTCGGGAGGCGGCGTAGCCAGCTAGCCATTGAGAATAGACGTTCTCTGTGTTTGGGATGGTTGGCGTAGGGGGGTCAAGGTCTTTTTCCACCTTGATGCGTTTGGAGAGAGGGCTCAGTGAGCCAGGACTGATGCCACCGCCCAGAAGCTTTCTAGAGAGGCTGTCGTTGGATAGTGGTCCCAGGCCGTTCATGGCAGTAGTCGATGCGTCATCTGCTCGGTCTAACTCGACAGCCGAGTCGTCATCGCCGTGCTCTCTAGACAAGCTCCGGTGATGCGGGTGTAGAGCGTTGCTGTTCTGGTGGTGGCGGGCCCCTTCCAGCCGCAGGCTGAAGCGATAGTTGTTCCTTCCCCCCTCTTCAACTCTAGCCTTGCTGTCGATTTCCTCCTCATCGCCTTCCTCCTCTTCCTCCTCCTCCTCTTCTTCCTCGTCTTCCTCCTCCTCTTCGTCTTCCTCCTCCTCCTCCTCTTCATTTTCAGGCATAATTCCGTTGTTCTCAGTCTTGAACTTGGCCACCACTGACTTGAGTGCATCCGTGGCACTGCCCAGTATGTCGCTTGTACCAGGTTCAGGCGAACTGGCAGTCGAGAGGCCGTCGTCTGACTTGGCATTGAGCGCCGACGACTTGTTCTGACAGTGCGTCTTCATGTGACGCTTTAGCTTGCTGGCCTGTGTGCAGGCGTGGTTGCAGAGGTGACACTTGAATGGCTTTTCCCCCGTGTGACTTCTCCGGTGAACGATAAGGTTACTCTGGAACTTGAAGGTCTTACCGCAGAACTCGCAAGACTTTGCCTTGAGAGGAGTGCCTGGCTGAACTGCATTTGATACAGGATTGGGGGTGGAGCGTGAGCCAGACGGGGACTGAGAGGTGGATAGGGGAGGCGTAGCTGTAAATGGAGGCTTAGAACCTGGCTGGAATGGCTGGAGCAGCCGTTGCATAGGGTTAGGTCTGTTAGGGGAGAGAGGCGGAGAACCCCCCGTGGCATTCCCAGCAAGCTCCCTCAGACGTCTAGAGAAGTCCATGCTCTGAGGGGGTTCTAATGGCACTGAGTTCAGCCTCATCACTCTGTCGAAGGCGCTAGGATGGTGGGTTGCCAGGGCAAGATCATCCGGGCTGAGATGGTGGCGTGGCGGTGGGCTGAAGAGCGGAGGGGTGCGGGGGTAACGGCCCTCGCGCGGCGTGGATGCTGAATCCCGGCCAGACCCTGATCCCGGCATCCTTAAGAGGCTGTAAGGGCTGCCGTCAGCCAAGTGCACGGCGTGGAGGGGCGGCTGAGAGGAGGCGCAGTCACCCCCCATCCCAGGAGCGGCAGCTACACGTGGGGTGAGAGGACTGCCAGGTTCGCTCTCCAGATAGATGCGGATGCCGTGAGTGTTCTGGGCGTGCTGGAGCAGGAACCAGGCACTGGTGAAGGGCTGCTTGCATGTGGTGCAGGTGTAACTGCTGGGCTCATCTTTATCTGACAAAAACAAAAAAAAAAGCAAACACACACAGAGAAAATTAAGTTAGAAAAGCATTAAATAAAAAATAAAAAAAACACTGCTGGATAAAATCTACAACATATATGGTGATCAATTTAAAAAATATCCTTCTTTCTTTTAATGCACTTCAACAAAAATAGCCGAAAATAAATAAGAAATTCACAATATTTTTAAATGAAACAGAAACTACACTGTGAACATCTTACGATTTGACCAAAAAGGACAATAAGTCGAGATTTGTAAAAGACAAAATATTTTCAGCACATTAATTAAAAAACACAGGGCGTATCTCATGCCGCCAATGCACAATTTATACAGATGAGAGGGCACAGAAATAATTCAAACAGTAATTGACTTTCAATTGCACTTGTACACTGACCTGAGATTTGCTTGACAATGCACGCCTAATCTCGTTAAACACACTCATCTTCCCTCCACTACTCTGTTTACGAAATTAACAATTCCAAAGTGGGACATGTATCGAATGCTGCGTATTAACGATGAATACAAATAAGAGGTCACATGTTAATAATTGTACCACTGTTTATCACAAAAAACCACACATTCACAGGAAATAAAAGCCACGAGAAAAACTGTGTCCGCGTGTTAGTGTGTGGGTGGGGAGGCTCCTTTGAAAATGCATTTCATGCATTGCTTTTCTATTTCTGATATTTCATGCTTTATGGATTTATTTAAATCCTCTCAGGTGAATAGAAAAGGAGAAAGGGGGGGAAGCAGAAGTGAGAGCTATGCAAAATAAGAAGCATCCACCGCTTGCAAATGTGCTCCTTCTTTCATCTTTTGCCGTTTTTTTTCCTTTCTTCTCTCTCTCTCTCTTTTTTTTCCCCCCCACTGCAGGCCATTCTTCTAAAGTCATTTGCAGACACTGAACCCGAAATCCACAGCACCTTCTATGCAAGCGAGGACGAACGAGAGACGGGGAGAGAGAGAAAGATAGTCCAATGTATGACGGGGAGCGCATGTGTTTTAAGCCGGCCACGGCTTAGAGAGACAAAGCGGGAAGAAGAGGGCAGAGAAAGAGCAGAAAGGAGAGATGCTGTGGTCGAGTTGTAGCGAAAAGAGTTTGATGTTTTGTGGCTTCGCCTGCTATCTCGTGTGTCCACAGTCACGGAGGCCCCCCTCCGAAGTCTCCCACTTAAAGAACATAATGCTGTGTAAAATGTGCACCAAATCAAATCTCCACACAAACCTTTCTCTCCTGACTGAAAAGAGTTGGAAGGGGGTATAATGGTAAATTATGGATCATTACAATCTGCAAAAATTACAGTTAATTGCTGCCACCTGCAATGGGCTTTGACCCACTATGGAATTTTTCCATCATAAAAAAGCCATTTGCCCATACGCTTTTTTGCTCTCACTCGTTCCCTTCCTCCTCTCTCTCATAAGCACAAATAAAATGTGCCAGTTACATTAACACACACTTCCTGATTATGTGTGTGTGTGTGTGTGTGTGTTTTTATGGCTTTAAAAGGAGAGCCCATGTATCCCCCCCATAAAAACGGCTGCAATAACCTGTGTCCTGCTGTACGTTTTCCTTTGATTTGTAGCCTGCATACGCTAACCCCAATGCTAGCGTAACGTGCAAGCGGACAATGTAAAGGCAGTAGGAGGAAAACATACTCTTTTTCTGCTGTTGTGAATGACTAGGAAGGACAATAAGGGGGTTTGTGCCTTTCAGAGAGAAGAAATCACAGAGGAGTCGGGAAAGTGAATGAAAAAGTCAGGAAGAGGAAGAAAGAGAACTGGAAGTGCGGCATGGAGGGGACAGTCTTCAAGATAACCTAAAGCATTTGTAAAGGACATGTGTGCCACCACACAACACTTAAAACTTCTGCAAATTCATTTTTTCATCAATTGAGGCACCAGCGTATCTTGAGCGATATAAACATTTGACAAAGTGTGCTCATGCCACAAGCAAGGAATAATAGTTTTTTTTTTTTTTTTTTTTTCATCCCGGGGGTTGGGCACAATGACGCGAATCAGAAAGTCAGAACAACGGATGTCAAGACAACAATGGCACATAAGATATCTAAATAAGCCCACTATTGTCCTTAATAGCCATCCTCCTGGGAATGGAGGAAAAGTGATTCAAAGGGATAAAGAACATTTTGACAAGGCGTTTGATGTTTTTCGTTTTTTTATTATTATTATTCGAGAACAGAGGAGCAAAGAACTGTGTGAGGGAGGAAGGAGGATCTTACAAACAAGTCTGTCGTCTAATGGAATAAAAGAGAAGCTCCCACTCTCTCTCGGTCTGTTTCTCCCCTTCTAAAAACTTAGTCTGGGGCGAGTTAGGGCTGGAGAGCAGCAGAGCTGAGGCTAATGCTGGATCTCCAGGTCCCTTTGAAATAGGATCAGCAGAGAGGAGAAACCACACTGACAAGCCCTTAGCTGCCATTTCATGGCAAGGGGCTGAAAGAGGGGACTTTAGAAAAGAGAGAGAGAGAGAGAGAGAGGACAAAAGTGTGTGGGAGAACTGAAAGAGAGCACGGAAAATATAGAAAAACATAGATCAACAATAATCCGGAATGTAGAAAACTAAAAACCAGACAAAAAAAGGTAAAGTATTTTTGAACCACTCCACATATTGCAACACTGAGAAAAGGGCAGCAAACGTGGTATTGGTTACTCTACTGCCATCGGGAAGATGGCATGATATTGATCAGGGTCATTTTATGATTCCTTAAACTGCAGTCAGTCACTTCACGTACTACTCACACCATCATCACAAGCTGCAAAACAAACTACCATATCATATACACCTGAGTTACATAGTGTAACTCAGGTGTATATGTGTCTAATATAAGTTCATTTCAAACAGCACTCCAAAACTTTTTGTAGTTTCTGAAAGGAAAACTATTATTACCCCTTAAACTTGGTAATCAAGGTCAAGACAGTGGCTGGATTATGTGTCTAGTTCTGCAGCCCAAGCGGAAGATGAAACGTCAGCAGACGGTCAATAGCTACTGGATTTAGAGCAAAAAAAAAAAGAAACCTTAAAATGGGCTTCTGACCTGAATGGCCCTGATTTGTGATCACCTAGCACAAAACTGAAAATTGGATAATTATACAATCAGTAAATGCTCAAGCAGAAATACTAACACTTTTCTTTGTAAAAAAAAGAAAAAAAAAAAAAGTTTACAGACGGAAGGTGTCTAAAAATGAAATTGAAGAAAGTGAAAATGCTGTTAAAAATATTAAACTCGACAGTTTTGTTATTTATTTTTAAAATAATCTGGCAGAAAATCTTGGTATCTTATGACCCAATCTAAGGCATAGTTTAAGTTGCTTGCAAAAATAAAATGTCATTGAGTTGTAATTTGCCTTCTAAAAGGGGATGTGCTGTAGTTTTCTTTAAAAGGGATAGGTTTGTACAGATACCAATAACTTTACTGTGTCTGTAGATTTCCAGTGATGCAGACGTTTACTGAGAAACTGTAAGTTAGGGTTATTTTTGACAAATCATTGTGTTACCATACTATAAACATTTCCATGTTCCAACAACCTCAATTTCTTCAAAAGGCAGCCCAAAATATTCTGCTATCCATAGTTGCAGAGAAATCAGAGTCATCTTACGTCAGTATCACAGAACTTCACAGAAATCTCTGCACCCTTACTGGAAACACACATGGTGAGTCGTTTAATTTTTGCCACCTCTCCCCCACTTTAACACACACTGCAGTTCATCAAGAGAGAACAGGTTAGTGAATCGAGCCACGGCGGCATGCAACAGTCAGCCGCTAGAGGCGTCGGATGTAGGTACGAAAATAACAACGGCTCGATGTTTTCGGATGTCTATCACACACCTTTGATATGTTCAGTCCCTTACCTTCAGAGGTGCCTGACATAAATTTGCTTCATGGCTTCCTACAATGCCCCACTGGAGTCCTATGAACTCAGCTTTATTTAAACAGCTCACATCTGCCGGGACATGGCCGACTTAATTGGTGATTTACAAACAACCAGAGGTATTTAAAGAGGGAGTTGTCTTTGCAGCCAGATGATAAAACCGTTTATCGAAAGAGGTTACTGATTGCTGTAATGTTAGTGGCCCAACCGAGGCATGTCCACAAACTCATAAAAAATGGTAAGAGATTACTTGAGTATAGTCTTGAAGCAGTCTCCACCCCGAGATGTATCCTCAAACTTTCTGGTCCTACTTTTAAAAGTTGCCAGACTTGTCTTGACCTCTAATTCTTTTCTCTTTTTTTTTCCGTTTGTTTGCGTTGTCCTTGACCAACCCCAGTAGTCATCTAAGGCCGTCCTAGTGTGACCATGTTGCTTTCACTGATATTGGTCATTAAGCTAATGGAGAAACAAGCTAACAGGATTAGCTTGCGGGTCCTCCAAAAGGAGACGGAGGAAGAGGAACAGAGGAGGATGAAGGCAGAGAGGGGCGGAAGACACGGGGGACGCAGCATGTCACGGCCGTTCCTCAAAGTTATCAGTCGCTACGGCTTGAGGGAGCACTTACAAACACCTGAAAAGTGATTATGCTAATACAGGTCCTTGCCAATATTCATAAGTGTTTATAGGTGTTGGAGTGAGTGCTTTGGGAGGAAGGAGGCTTGTCAGTACAGTGCCTCTTAAGAGTGCCTTTAGCCGTAACTGGCGTTAATGTGATTACTACTCTGTTTATGTCATTAGGGTATTCACAGTCAGGAATTGGACAGGGGTGAAGGGTGAAGCAGGAGAGGACATGTTGAGGGAAAAGACTGTGGCCCTCTTCTTGTCTAAAGTCCCTCTCTTCTAAATGACTTTCAGCAGTGTTTAAAAGCGTTCTTAGCTAATTGTTTATTAGCAGCTTCAGAGATAAACCAAAGAAGTCTCATCGTGTGCTGATGTGTCAAGCAAACTTTACAGGATCGGTCTTCTTTCTTACTTCACTAACTCTGTGTCACTGTTTCCTTGCTGCACATCCAGGCTCATACACACTTCTTTGTCCTGGGCACGCATA